TGGAACGCACGCACTCACCCAGCCCAGCCTCGCAGGTCCTGGCTGCGCCCAGCTCTGGGGAGCCGCCAGCAGAGCCCTCTTGCTCTGTGCCACTCGCTGCTGAGTGCCGGGGGCCAAGGAGGGGGGGCAGGGATCTGCTACCAGCCCCTCTCTGCTCCCCGCCCCGCAGTGCCAGCTGGGCCGTGTCCTGTGCATGTGTGGCGCTGCCCACGCGCTGCCGGAGGTGCCCAAGTTAATGAAGAGAAGGGCAAAGGGTGTGCGTGGGGGGGTCAGTTCCTCCCCAGAGCCAGGCACAGCGCAGGGGTGGGGGCCATGGACAGCTGGGGACAGCTGTCTTGGGACACAGTCACAGACAGAACCGAGGTGTCCGGGTCATGGACACACGCAGACACGCACAGAACCCAGGCACCTCGGACACGCACACATGGACACGCACATGGAGAGACACACAAACACACACACGCAACCCAGGTGTCCAGGACATGCAGAGAACCCAGGCATCTGGGACACACAAATTTGTGCACATGCACACACGTGCACACACACACGTATCCCGTCCCCCACACCCACCCCAACCTCCCAGCTCTTCCTCCCCTCCCCTTCCCTCCCCTCCCCCATGGGTCTACTTCTGGTGTGCACGTGTGCGTGTGCAGGGGAGCCTGCACTCCCCATCCAGGTGGCAGGTGTGCCCATGCCCCAGCACCTGGCATGTGGTGCCCGGCACAGTAGAATCAGCCTCGTGGCTGGACATATGTCTGGGGGGGGCAGTACTTAATCCCTGTGTGGGGAGCAGGGGGATTATTGCCATGGTGCCCCGCGGCGTGAATAATCCTGGGAGGTGGGGGGTGACGCAGGGTGGGGGAGGGGTGTGGGGGGCAAAATCCTGCCCCCCCCAGCCGTCCCCACGCCCCCTTTCTAATTCCTTGGGATAGTTGCCAATTAATCAGCTCCTGTTAACGAGGTTAGGGGATTAAGTGGGAGGGGGTCCCTGCCTGTTGACCCCTGAGACGCCCAGGTGGGAGAGGGGAGACAAGATGGTAGCCAGTGCAGCCTTGTCCAGGCTTCGACCTAGTCCGGGGGCAGCTGAGGGGCCAACGGGAACACTGTGGGAGGGCCCCTCTGCCCCTCCCTGGTTGCAGGGCTGACTGGGGGGGCAACTGGGTGAGGGGTCCTGCCAACAGGGGCGTGGAAGTGGGGGTAAAAGCCCAGGGCAAGATGGTGGTAGCATCACTTCCTGTGGGGATAGGATGTCCATGGTTCTTCACTGCCTGCCCCAGCCTCAGGGTTGGGGGGCAGCAGGTACGGGGACAGGGCAGGGGTTTTGCCTTGGGGGAAGGCTGGGCTCAGTGCTCCCTGCCCCAGGGGGTGCCATGTTTCTCTGCCCACAGGGGCAGGGGACAGGGTGCCCCGAGTCCTGTCTGGGGGCGGGTCTTACGGGGGGCCAGATAGGTAGGTAGGTAGGTAGGTAGATGGATGGATGGATGGACAGACAGATGGACATTGGGCAGACAAACTGATAGATAGTGGATTGATAGATGGATAGACAGATGGAGGGATAGTTAAATGGAGGAGGAATAGATGAATAGAAATCTAAAACAACAGATGGATAGATGGATACCTTATACATGAATAGTAAAGAAATAGAAAGAAAGATGGATAGACAGACACATAGGTGGATAATAGGTCAGTAGATGGATGGATAGATGGATATATAAAAAATGGATAAGGCATGTTCATAGATAGATAGATAGATGGACATGCACAGGTAGGCTGACAGGCAGACACCCTATGGAAGGATGGAGGGAGTGGGGAGCTGGGGGGATGCCTGGCTGGGGCTGAGGATGGACGGGGTTGTTCCCAGGCTGGCAGCAGCTGGGCCTACCCACCCCCCTCACCACCACGTGCCAGCTCAGACAGATGGTGCTTGGGGGGGGGGGGGGGGGGGTGGGGGGGGTTGGTCAGTGTGAGATGAGATGGGAGCAGGGCGGGGAGCCCCCCCCAGCATCCTCACTGGCTGGGGCTGGGGAGGAGGGGCCAGGAGAGCTGGGGGGTAGGGGGCGATAGACAGATGGACACGGAGAGGACTGGCTCCAGGGAAAGGTGGATGGAGCGTTGGTGGGGAATGGAGGGACCGTGCTGGGGTGGAAGAGATGCATAGAGCTAGATGGACAGACAGACAGGCAGAGAGATAGGTACATGGGTGGGTGGGTGGATGGATGGATGGATGGATGGATGGATGGACAGATGGATGCATAGATACATGTGTAGACATGTGAACAGATGAATGGATGGGCAGGTAGGTAGCTGGATGGACAAATGGATGGATGGATGGATGGATGGATGGGGGTTGTGGAGAGGGATGGATGGATGGATACATTAGTGGATGGACAGAGATATAAGTGGATGGGTAGGTAGGTGTGTGGGTGGGTAGGAAGGTAGGTAGGTAGGTGGGTGGGTGCCTACAGAGCGGGGCAGAGGGGTGGCAGTCGCAGGTGCCAGGGTACGGGCACAGCCAACCGGGCAGGCTCAGGGCTCTGGGCAGGTGCAGGCCTGAGGCCCGACCCACTCGTCAGGGCCGAAATTAGACGGCCCATAACAAGCTGCTTTCCCTGCACCTCCCCCGGGGCCAGCACCATCCAGGCCTCCTTACCAGGCTTTTTCTATGACTTCATCCCCCTGGCCCTGCTTGGAAAATTCCCCCCGATCCCCAGGCACTGCTGCACCCCAGAGCTGGGCACATCCCGGGGCCAGGGAGCAGTGCTAGGTCACTGGATGGGACCCAGGTGGCCGGGCTGCCACCCCCTGCTCTCACCCCTGGGTCCCCCTCCCCTCCCAGACAACCCAACAACCCAGGCATCTGGGGCCATCAATCCAGGTGTCAGGGAAAGCTGTTGGTTTCCCAGGCCTGTAGCTGGGGTAACATGGCCTCGTGGGAAAGGGGCCGGCTGGGGGGGGCCGACACAAAGCCCCCCGGGGGGGGGGGGCTGGGGCCACCGGGGCAACCGCGGCCCCCAGTTAACATGCCCTCGTGGGAAAGGGGCCGGCTGGGGGGGGCCGACACAAAGCCCCCCGGGGGTGGGTGGCTGGGACCACGTGGCCACCAGCTGCCTCAGGGCAAGGGGGAGCTGGACGCCTGGGTTCTTTCCCAGCCCTGGGAGGGGCTGGGGGGGAGCCCCGACACCTGGGTTTTCTGGGGCAACAGTTGGGGTGGGCAGGTTAGAGCAGAGCACGGACGTGCGGGGTGGTTGAGAGGGGAGAGGGGGCTGGGGGTGAGAGCAGCGTGGGGGCCTGGATGCCTGGGTTTCCTCCAGCTCAGGAAAGGCAGCGCCCAAGCTGCTCCCCTGGGAGTGCAACCCAGGCGTCCAGCCCCTGCCCTCCACCCCTGCCCCATCTTCAGCCTTTTTCTTCCAAATCCCCTCTGGGCAGATTGACCCAGGCCTGCTCCCCACGTGCATGTCTTAGCACACGCATGTCTGGGCGAAGGTGTGCATACGTGCGGAGGGCATCAGTCGTGCATGCACAGGCTGAGCCCCATCAGCAAGGGCAGGACACGCGTGTGGCAGGGATGCACGGAGCACATGCACGTGGGGAGGGTCGCCGCCCGGCACACCCATACAGGAAAGCCAGGTGTCCAGGACACAACCTGGCTCCTCCCACCCGCCCCACGACAACTATACTGGCATGCCAACAGCACTGGAACTGTGTTTGTGTGTCCTGGACACCTGGGCGGGGGGTGTCTGTGTCCCGGATGCCTGGGTTCTGTGTGTAAATGTGTGTGTCCTGGATGCCTGGGGGCATGGGTTTGTGTGTGTATCTGTGTGGTGTGTGTGTGTGTGTCCTGGACACCTGGGGGCAGGTGTGTGTGTGTACAACCTGAACACCTGGTGTGTGTTTGTGTGTGTTGGACACCTGTGGGGGTGTCTGTGTCCCAGATGCCTGAGTTGTGTGTGTGTGTGTGTGTGCGTGTGTGTGTGTGTGTGTGCCCCAGACACCTGGTGCATGTGTGTCAGACACCTGGCTGGGTGTGTGTGTCCCAGATGCCTGAGTTGTGTGTGTGTGTGTGTGTGCGTGTGTGTGTGTGTGTGTGCCCCAGACACCTGGTGCATGTGTGTCAGACACCTGGCTGGGTGTGTGTGTCCCAGATGCCTGAGTTGTGTGTGTGTGTGTGTGTGTGTGCGCGCCCCAGACACCTGGTGCATGTGTGTCAGACACCTGGCAGAATGTCTGTGTCCCAGATGCCTGAGTTGTGTGTGTGTGTGTGTGTGTGTGCGCGCCCCAGACACCTGGTGCATGTGTGTCAGACACCTGGCAGAATGTCTGTGTCCCAGATGCCTGAGTTGTGTGTGTGTGTGTGTGTGTGTGCGCGCCCCAGACACCTGGTGCATGTGTGTCAGACACCTGGCAGAATGTCTGTGTCCCAGATGCCTGAGTTGTGTGTGTGTGTGTGTGTGTGTGCGCGCCCCAGACACCTGGTGCATGTGTGTCAGACACCTGGCAGAATGTCTGTGTCCCAGATGCCTGAGTTGTGTGTGTGTGTGTGTGTGTGTGCGCGCCCCAGACACCTGGTGCATGTGTGTCAGACACCTGGCAGAATGTCTGTGTCCCAGATGCCTGAGTTGTGTGTGTGTGTGTGTGTGTGTGCGCGCCCCAGACACCTGGTGCATGTGTGTCAGACACCTGGCAGAATGTCTGTGTCCCAGATGCCTGAGTTGTGTGTGTGTGTGTGTGTGTGTGCGCGCCCCAGACACCTGGTGCATGTGTGTCAGACACCTGGCAGAATGTCTGTGTCCCAGATGCCTGAGTTGTGTGTGTGTGTGTGTGTGTGTGCGCGCCCCAGACACCTGGTGCATGTGTGTCAGACACCTGGCAGAATGTCTGTGTCCCAGATGCCTGAGTTGTGTGTGTGTGTGTGTGTGTGTGCGCGCCCCAGACACCTGGTGCATGTGTGTCAGACACCTGGCAGAATGTCTGTGTCCCAGATGCCTGAGTTGTGTGTGTGTGTGTGTGTGTGTGCGCGCCCCAGACACCTGGTGCATGTGTGTCAGACACCTGGCAGAATGTCTGTGTCCCAGATGCCTGAGTTGTGTGTGTGTGTGTGTGTGTGTGCGCGCCCCAGACACCTGGTGCATGTGTGTCAGACACCTGGCAGAATGTCTGTGTCCCAGATGCCTGAGTTGTGTGTGTGTGTGTGTGTGTGTGCGCGCCCCAGACACCT